GGCCAATCGTTCCTTTCTACTTTGCCAAAGGTGGTTAAAAAATGTCTTGCCTAGTCTGTCTATCCTAACGATATCCCTTCCCGTCTTTTCAACCCACCTCATATGCCCCAGTACAGCTACCGTCCTTTCCTCTCTATTCCATGCCTCGAACATCTCTCGGTACGTCCCACGTATTTTTCCCAGCTCAGTCACCTACACGTCCCTCTCCTTCTTGTACCACGGACATTCCGCGACTACATGACCACGGTCTTCGCATTCGAAGCCGCACTCACATTTGAACTCGTCGTCTTCCTCGTCTACCGTCCTATGCCTTCATCGACGTTCTCGAAAGCCTATGTCCCCCGGTCCGGAATTTGACCTTCAGCTGTGTTCCTGCATCCATTGGTCCATGTAGGTAATCCTTGAACCCTATTTCTTCCTTCAACATTCCGTACACTTCTAGACCTGCCTTATCCTTGGATTCTTTCCTTAGATTCTGTTGTTACTCTCTCGGCACAAGCAACAGGTATGTTCTCCTTGAACCCCAGTAGACCCTCCGTTTCCAGCGTTTCATCTTCGTCGATCTCGAGCCCCTTCCATACGTCCTCTACAACCTTGATCCATTCCGTGGGTCGTCTACCCCTCTTTTCGTTTGCCCACTTCGCCTCCCATACAATTCTCGGCAACCTCTCCCCTCCCATCCCCCACATGCGATACTGCCAGGTCAGCTTCCTCGCGTCTCTTCCCGACCGTAGGGATTGGATCCCCAATTCTGCCCTGACAGCTGCATTACTTGTGCGCCTGGAGCATCCTAGGATGATTTTCGCTGCGTTCATCTGCGCCGCCTCGAGTTCTTTCACTACCTTCTTATTTCCTTCCCATACTTCTCCGGCGTACTCTAGCGGCGGTACGATTACGCTCTTCAAAACCGTCAATTTGATGCGTGTATCGAGGTGCCGGTTTGCGAGTATTGGATGCAGCTTCCTCCTGCTGGTGCTTTGCCCTTTTCCGCTACCTTGGACGTGTGCATTCCACGAGCAGTCTTTTGCGCGATCTCTACTCC